ATTGGAAAGAGTGTTAGGGCTCCTGGGTCGCTGACCAAGTGGTTTCTGTTTTGTACCCTTTATTTGTGTTCTCCTCTTAGTTTATTTTTGTGAAGGTTTTGGTTTCTGTTTAACATTTCTATTTTTTCCCCAGTTCTTCTTGGTGTGTGATTATGTAGTTCTTAAGTTTGGTTCCATACTCCCTCTGTTCTGTGTCCAGTCAGTGTCTGTGTCTGCCCCACGTCTCTGTTACAGTGCCTGCTTGTGAGTCTGTCTATAAGTTCAGTCTGTTTCCTGTTTTACTTTGAAAGTCCGTATCTCATGTTAATGCGTCTGGTTTTGCTTCCTTTGTCTCGTCAGCCCTGTTTTGTCCCAGCTGTGTTTCCCTCCTGTCTCATCTTTTGAGTGCCCCCTGTGTGTCTTTAAGCCCTGTGTTTCTGTGTCAGTGTCGCGATCTACCATCATATTGTACTGTGTGTTCTGTCTGCCAGCCTGCCGCATTAGTTTATTTTGTATTCTAGTTCAGCCAGTTTTCTGTTTTGCCGCCCAGCATTAAAACTGTATTTAAGTTCACCTTTTGTTTCCGTGAGTCTGGATTTTGGGTCCTTTTCCTGCCTGCACACAGCCTTCACATGACAGTTATTCAGGAGAGGTTTTCTGTAGAGAATGGGACTCCTCAGGGGAGCATAGTGAGTCCCTTGTTATTTTCTCTAATGATTCATGATGTGTTTAATGATATAGAGCGGGGGGTGGGATGTTCACTTTTTGATGGAGGAGAGAGAGGAATGTAGAATTTATTGTAAAGAAGCTGCAGGAAGCAGTTGGTAAAGTTGAAGAGTGGCCGTATAAGTGGGTCTTCAAATTTTTAGTTTGATAAGACTAAGACAATGATTTTTACAAAGAAAAGGGTTAGTGAGGAAGTTAGGTGAAGCTATATGGTGTGGAATTAGAAAGAGTGAGGAAGTTTAAGTTTCTGGGTTTGTGGTTGGACGGGAGGGTAACTTGGGGTGCACACATTCAGGAATTGGTGGGTAAGTGTAAAAAAGTTTTAAATATTTTGAGGTGTTTAGTTTAGAGGGATTGAGGAGCAAATGGTGAATCCTTGAGGCCCATATACACTGGGTTGGTGAGGTCAATGTTAGATTATGGTTGTGTGGCATATAATTCGGTAGCAGACACGACTCTTGGGAAATCAGATGTTATTTGGTATCAGGTGTTGAGACTTTGTACAGGGACATTTAAAACAACAAAAGGTGGAGATGGGGGAGATGCCACTAGGATTGAGGAGTGAACATCTTAGATTGAATTATTGGGCAAATTTACAGGGGCAGGATCACCCTACACTAGAAGTATTTAAACCTTGCTGGAAGAAAGGAAGGAGGGAATTAAAGAGCTTTGGATGGCTGGGGGCGTGGGGGGAGCTAGAGAATTTAATATAGATCAGTTAGTCATATGTCAACGAGTGCCGTGGCCTGCAATCCCTCCATGGATACTTCGTGAAGCAGTAGTAGAATTTGCATTATTGGACAAGAAGAGTAAGGATAGGCAGGCGGTCTAGACTCCCATTCAGTTCAGGGTTACATTGAACAGTATTATGGGTATGTGCAAGTATATACAGATGCGAATCCAGCTAGTCAAGTGGGGGTAGAAGTGGTGATTCTGGATTTTATGGTAGAAATTGGGAAGAGAATAAATGATTGTCTGCGTTTACAGGAGAAATGACAGCAATTCTATTAGCGGTTCAGTGGGTGGAAGAAGATGAGGCCATTGAAAGCAATTATTTGCTCAGATTCAAGAGCATCCTTGGTCAGTCCACAGAGCGGTTGTTCAGAAGGTCGATCAGATATTTTAATAGAGATTCGGCAAAGTCTTTTCAGAATACACATGATGGCTCTGTTAGTAGAGTTTGTATGGGTCCCGGCTCACTATGGAATGAGGGGGGATGAAGAAGCAGATAAGTTGGCAAAGGAAGCCACTTATTATAGGATAGATGATCTGGCGGTGAGTTTTGTTCAAGCGGATTAAGAGTATTATAAAGCTAGAAATGAGAGCTAGATGGCAAAAACAAAGAAGAAAAGAGGGGAAGGTGGTTATATTAGCACGTGTTGTTTTGTAGTGTTGGAAGTATAAGGTAGAGAGGAGACAACTAGTCCAAAGTCTCAGTAACATTAAAATGAAATTGGATCTTATTAAGTTATTGCAAAAGGAGTCAGAGAATAAAAGTTATCAGGCTTTGTTTTACGTTTTTGAAGATTGTTTGGAAGGATATGAAGTTGTGTGTGTGCTGCTCGACTCCTGCTCAGTGAAGAGGAGTGGGTTTGGTGATTAACCTTCTGTTTTGCTTAATTTTTCAGGGTTTTGACCGACTACTGAGTTGTTGTGTTTACTTTTTCTTTTTTTTTAATGGTGATAGCAGCTTGACCGTCTCTGAGTTTTGTTGGAATGTTAATAAAACCTTTTGAATTTAACTGTTTTACCTCTTTCTCTCCTTTTTCAACCTTTTTGTTACTTCCCCTCATCCCCTAGACCTTTTCATGTGTTCATATTTTCACATGTACACATTTTCCTGCTGTTTGAAGGGTTTTCTTGACCTCTGTTTTGTCTCTGTATCCCCCGTCTTCATTCCACTTCCGGTTTATTTTGATGATTGTTTTACCTTGCTTTCCTCCTGTGAATTGACTTGTCTTTTCCCCTAATTCCTTGATGTTGTGGTTTGTTTGTTTGTTTGTTTGTTTTTTCCCCCTACCCCAAGTCTCATCTTTGCCTGTCTGAATTCTCATTCTTTATACTTTGTCCGATTCTGTAATATTTTATTCCACCGTTTTCAGTGTCCATGGAGGGTTAGGTCTTTAGTGCTTAGTTCACAGTCACGTGTCAGTGAGCATCTGGGCTATTGAAGAGCATCTGAAGATGTTTGTTTTAGCCAAAAAAAATGTATCTGTGATCCCTGAGAGGTCTTTGCTCGCCATTATACTTCTAATACTTCAGAGGGTTAAATGCAGTGCTTGCTTCTGACTTTTGTCTCTCCAACAACACGTGAGAGCAGGTTGCAGTGTCTGAAAAGTAAACAGAGCTTTTTATTGACGTGTTTGTCTTTTCCTTTTTCCAGGACCAAGTCGAGCAGAGCTTGCGCGAGAAAGCTGAAATGCAGAAAGAGCTGGATCAGATAAAAGCTGAAAACGAAACCTTGAAGAGTGCTCTGCTGAGGGAGCAGCAGCAAGCTGCCAGCTTAAAGGTCCACTTATCTTATTTTCCACTCCGTCATTTGTCTTGTGCAACAGAGAAAATAGCAAAGTGTAAGCTGAACTTTGGTAAGCTGACTCAGTGTTATTGATTCTCTCACAGGGGCAGAATGAGCAAAAAGGGAAAGAAAACGCCGAACTGGCCACTGAACTGGATCAAACCAAGCAACAGATTGAAAACCTCAGAAGCTCTTTGCAGCAGCAGCTGAAAGAAAATGACAGCTTGAAGGTTTGCCCTCGCTTGACATTTTACATCTAAATTCAGCACTTCGACATCGGTGTAAAAACGTATGTTTGACGTTAGGAGGAGATGGTGATCCAGATGACGAAGCAGATGGAGATACAGCAGGACGGCGTCACTGAGAGGAGGGAGCGGAGTTCATCGAGAACGAGCGAGGTAAGATGGATCCTGTCTCGCTGTTAGACGGTCTAAAGTAAGTGAGCTTTGTTAAGTCGGAGCTTTGAACACCACCAATGTTTGGTTCTGGGCTGTATGTGGACTAATCCACTGTCCAGCTCCCAAAGTGCTGAAAGGAAAATCGCGTTTAAAGTGATAAGCTGTAATATTTGAAGTTTATGTTGCATTTTTAATATGCTTTGAGTTGTAAAGAAGGTCTCAGTGTGATTTCCCAGTTAAATTAAAAGTAAATAAAGAAGTCTGTAGAGCCAGTTTGCTCAATGCAAGCCGTGTTTGTGCAAATTATGTGTGCAAACAAACTTTTTTTTAAACAGTCTCATAGTTTTGTAAAATTGTTGTTTTTCTTTCCTTTTTTTCCCCATTTTCATAATTTTCAGTCTCAGTTTCACATGTCAAATGAACCCTTCTCCTATGCCCCCTGATCTGAATCTTACAGTAACCTCTTCCTTGTTTTTACAGGAGAAATACGATCGAGCTGTGCAGAAGATCAACCAGCTGAAAGAGGAGCGTGAAAAGCTGAAGGAGGCGATTGAGGCCCAGAGTGAGGAGATCTCAAAGTGAGTCATTTTCTACTTCAAACCAAAACTTTTAGAACTCGTTTGTTTCCTCTGCTTACTGATGCTCAAGTCTGTGCGTTTTAGGCTGAATGCAAAGGTCAGAGAAGGTGAACGGGAGCTGTTTAAAGCAAAGGACGGCATCCAGCTCATCGAGGTAAATCTTTAGTTAAATGGGCTGGCCTGAGAGTTCATCCATTCAGTTGTCATTTATTTGGAACCAGAAAAATACAAAAATATATATTGCATGCTGGCAGGTGGACCTTCAGAGCAGCAGGAAAGAGAAAGAGAGGCTCGCTGCAGAGCTGCAAAGACTGCAGAGCCTCACCTACAACGTGGACAAAATGCAGAGAGAGAACCAGGACTT